ATGAGACAACAAGGTGCAGGGCTGGATGAACACAGCAGGCCAAGCAGCATCATAGGAGCAATGAGAATCAGCTGAGGAGAAGTGAAGTGTTTAACGTTGACTGCACAGAATAAGGGGACTTGGACTGAGTTTACTTGTCACTAGGAGAGATACATGATACATACTGTACTGAGTCACTGATATGTCACAGCCTGCTGCGGAGAGGGAGGGATAGGTTTCTGCATGATTGCTCCTTACTGCTTGCTGAGTCAGCTGTGTGTTCTCAGGCCCCCTACCCCACTGTGAATGATTGATGAGTAATACTGCGCACTGCAGCCTGGCTGAGACAGAGGGATGTTTTCCACATGGCCCTTGAATAATTATTTATGTTGTGTGGAAATTTTACTGAGCACCTGTTGGGGGAGGGTAGCAAATGCTCAGTACTCCAGTTTAAATTCCAGTCCAGTAACCCTTATTGTCACTCTCCGGTAAGCTAGTGTTAAACAAAAGAGATTGGCCTTTTATATAAAGCTTTTCACAAGCTCAGGATGGTCCAAACCAGTTAACAGCTAATGAAATGCCCTTCTGAAGTACAGCCATCGCTCTTATAATAGACATGTGGAAACCAGTTTGTGCACAGCAAAATCCCATAAGCAGTAAAGAGATTGTGACCAGATAATCTGCTGTTGATTGAGGGATTAGTATTGACCAGGGTGCTGAACACTGTCCTTCTTTAAAATCATGCTGTCTTTTCTTTTACCACCCCAAGGGGGTTCAACAGACAGGTCCTCAGCTTATTGTCTCCTTCGGTGTAGCACTCCTGCAGTAAAGCACTGAAGCTTCAGCCTGGATCTTGTGCTCTGGTCTGAGCATGGGGACTCAGTGTCTTACCCTCCTGAATCAGAGGTGACAGCACTACCCACTGAGCCATGACTGACACTTAGACTTTGAGCAGCACAATGGGAATTTCCAGCTCAGGATCTCTGTTCCTTTTTATTTGTCCCTAAAACTACAGGAGAGATAATTGATTACTCGATCCCCTTTTCGCTGCAATTTTACTGATTTTCTGTCCCCTGCCCTGTCTCTTCTCATCCTCTGAGCTGGTCTCAAGTAATGGACACCATTAGTCAGGCGTCTGTCTCACACAGGCACAGGCAGACACACATATTAACATACACAGATATACTGACACATACACACGTAAACATATACTTGCACAGATATACACACACATAAACATATACTCAAGACAGGTATACACATACTTGCACAGATACATACACATACAGACACACAGATAAGTCTTGTGTCCTGGTGACTCTCTGTTGATTGGTTTTGGAAAGTGAGCTATTCCTCAGTAAATACTAGGCTGTGTAAGAGAAACGGAACATGGAGAGGAGGTAATTATGGGAGAGTACGTGTTGATCTCCAGTCATAGAGACCATGGTAACAGACCCTCTAGTCCAACTTGTCCACACCAACAAGATATCTTAAATAAATCTACTCCCAGCATTTGGCCCATATCTCTCAAAACCCGTCTTATTCATATACCCATCCAAATGCCTTTTAAATGTTGTAAGTGTACCAGCCTCTACCACTTCCTCTGGCAGCTTCTTCCATACATATACCACCCTCTGCATGAAAATGTTGCCCCTTAGGTCCCGTTAAAATCTTTCCCCTCTCACCTTAAACCTATGCCCTCTAGATTTGGATTTCCCCACTTTGGGAAAAAGATCTTGTCTATTTACCCTATCCATGCCCCTCATGATTTTATAAACCAGTCCAGTAACGCTTATTGCCACTCTCCGGTAAGCTAGTGTTAAACAAAAGAGGTCAGTCAGCCTTCAATGCTCCAGGGAAAATAGCCCCAGCCTATTCCTTTAGCTCAAACCCTTCAACCCTGACAATATCCTTGTAAGCCCTTTCTGAACCCTTTCAAGTTTCACAACACCCTTCCTATAGCAGGGACACCAGAGTTGCATGCAGTATTCCAAAAGTGGCCTAACGAATGTCCTGAACAACCACAACATGACGTTCCAACTCCTATACTCAATGCACTGACCAATAAAGGCAAGCATACCAAACACCCTCTTCACTATCCTTTCTACCTGCGACTCCATTTTAAAGCAAGTATGAACCTGCACTCCAAGATTTCTTTGTTCAGCAACACTCCCCAGGACCTTACCATCAGGTGTTTATGTCCTGCCCTGATTTGCCTTTCCAAAATGCAGCACCTCACATTCATCTAAATTAAACTCCATCTGCCACTCCTCAGCCCATTGGCCCATCTGCTCAAGATCCTGTTGTACTCTGAGGTAACCTTCTTCACTGTCCACTACACCTCCAATTTTGGTGTCACCTGCCAATTTAGTAACCATACCTTCTATGTTCACATCCAAATCATTTATATAAATAACAAAAAGCAGTGAACCCAGCCTCCAGTCTGAAAAGCAACCATCACCCTTTCCCTTTCCTCATGCTGTGCCCAGTAACTGCAGTGATGGTGTGTAAGTATCTGTTTTTTGACTGTGTGTGGGGAAACCCTGCGAAGGGCAGCCTTTGATTATCATTGACAGCTGACTCAGAGAAGTGAACTCTGTAACGGTGCTTCGAGAAGTTTGACAGCTCTGTTTACAGACAAAGGGGTTTTAATGATCTCTTGTCAACAGTCCCAGCCATTTCCCTCCTTCACAGATTCACAGCCAATTCTAGTGTGCACTCTCCCATCTCTTTTTCTCACTCACTCACTATTCAATCACAACTCACTCACTCACCACTCACTTATTCACAATTACTCACTCACTCACGACTCACTCATTCACGTGACAAACATGCACCTAACCAAAGCGCTCACTCACAGCTGTTCAACTGTGACAGTCCTTACAGCTCAGCCTGACTCTGACTTCGCTCACAATTCTAAATCTGGTTACACAATTCCTGGAGGCCCAGTGTGAAAAAGCAGTAACACTTAGAGGTAGAATCGGTCCATTATGTCTATACTGGCTCCTGAAAGAGCTACTCAGCTAGTCCCATTTTTCAGTCCTATCGCCACTGAATGTAGGTGTCATACTGGAGCTCCATTTTGGAGATAATACATAACAAGGTGGTCCAGACCAGTTTGTGTCATTCACGTGATTTACTGTTTTTTTCCCTTCTCAGGAATATTGTCAGATGACCTCCTGTCTCAAACCCCTGCCCGCCTGCTATTGGCTGCCCACTGTTTACATTTGCATGACAACCAGTCAATGTGAAAGTAAAACAGACTCATCATCACCAGATTGGATGATCCTTGACCGTCACTCAAACCATCTTTACATCCACATGTCCGATGCTTTTATACATACAGTAATGAAGTGCTCAAAGAACGTGTTAAAACACAGTCTTTAATGACCTGGTGATTTTTCTCCTGGATAATGCATGTTTAGTTGCACAGTACTCTGTATGCAGTCTCATCGATGTCCTGTACAGTCATAGCAAGGCTTCTGCTTTTTCTCGCAATAAAGGCCAACATTGCATGCATCTTCCTCATTACTTGCTACATCTGCCGCAACCTTTCGTGATTGAGATGAGGTAGGATTTCTTCAGCCAGAGGATGGAGAATCTGTGGAAGTCATTGCTGCAGAAGGCTGTGGAGATCAAGTCATTCAGTGTCTTTAAGACAGAGATAAATAAGTTCTTGATTAGTCAGGAGATCAAGGGGAGAGAGCAGGAGAATGGGGTCAAGAGACATATCAGCCATGATCGAATGGCCTAATTCTGCTCCTATATCCTATGTTCTTCATGTACAAGAATACCCAAAGTCCTCTGTACCACAACAATCTGCCGTCTCTCTTCATGAAGGCTGAAAACCATTTAAAAATACAAATCAGCAAAATATGACATTACCAATTCAGAGTCAATAATGACCTTTGAAAAAGGAACTGGATAAATACTTGTTACAGAGATAGTAGGAACTGCT